AGCAATCGAAGTTTAATGGAATCTGCAATGGAAACGACTTTCGCTGAAAACATCTGCATCTCCTGGAATCTCCCTCTGTAAAAAGATGTCTCCCCAGACTGATGAAGAGAGGAAACGCATGAGTCTAATTCCTTATGCCTCGGCAGTATGATCGATCATGTATGCCATGTTATGTACTAGACCAGATATCGCTTATTCACTCAGTTTGGTAAGTAGATACCAATCTGATCATGGAGAAGAGCACTGAAAAACGGTCAAAAATATACTTAAGTACCTTAAAAGGACTAAGGAGTTATTTTTGATATACGGTAAAAGTGACCTCCGAATGGAGGCTTTTTCTGACTCAAGCTTTCAGAGCGATATCGATGATAGTAAGTCTGTATCAGGATATATTTTCACCCTCAATAGAGGGGCTGTCAGCTGGAAAAGTTCCAAGCAGGATACAGTAGCAGACTCGACTATAGAAGCTGAATACATTGCAGCCAATGATGCAGCTAAAGAAGCTGTCTGGATGAGGAAGTTCTATTTAGAACTGGAAGTTGTTCCTACCATTAAAGATCCAGTACCTTTATACTGTGATAATAATGCTGCAATAGCTCTGACAAAGGAACCCCGATCTCACCATAAGTCCAGACACATTCTGAGGAAGTATCACTTGATCAGGGAGATAGTTGATCGTCGGGAGATCAAGATTGAAAGAGTAGACACAAAAGATAATATAGCAGATCCATTCACAAAGGCAATTGCTCGTTCATAATTTGAGATACTTGTTGAGCTATTGGATATTAGATACTATAATAATTGGCTTTAGTGCAAGTGGGAGTTTGTTAGATATAGGTGCCCTGCAGTCAATTATTGTATATTGTAACAGGACCTATATGTGTATAACATCCTTGTTCAAAATGATAGTATGCTATTTTGGTCAGATTTATCTAATGTTCTAAAAATACAGATAATGTCCTTAGAATAAATACTAGACTATCAGACATTTTAGATAGTGATCGTAATGGAGAGATATGATTAGTCGGTAACGTATATTCTAAAATATTCCTAGTTGATGAAGTGTTGAGATTGGACATCATCACTTTGGTTTAGACTAGTGTATGCTTTATTTCTCCTTTTGAAGGAGATGATCAATCTCTTAGATCATTGATGTGAGACATCAAGATACAGTATACAGGTGCCTCATTAGTGAATGAGTTGACTGAACGACTCGCCGAGAACATCTAGTTGGTAATATACTTAACTGTCAAATAGAAGTTCTCAAGTGATATAGTATATAGTAGTCTCTTGACCTGAGGCATGAGTGTAATATCTTATATGTCAGTAAAAATGTATTTAGACTTTTACCTAACCACAGTTCTTATTGAATTGTGCATAACGGTTCTTGTTGGGTACATCCCGAGACATAAGTAGATATTGAGATGCCAAGAAGGGATTCGTCTCTCCCAGTATAGGGGTTGATGTCATAAGATTATTTGATATAACTATAGCCTAAAAATCTTTGGCCAAGGTGAATAAGATAAACTGAGTGTCAGTTTGATCTTATAGGTTATGAGTTTAATATCAATAAACACTAATCAAGCTATTAGGGTTTGACAGTTTGCCATACCCTAGGCTCAATAGTTTGACATGGTTTGACGAAGAGACTAGACTGTACGATATTATCATTGAGTGGTCCTGATAAAATTGGATAAGCATCTTGCAGACCTTTATCATAACTTATACCCAGGTGGTCTTCATGTGTAGCTAGTACCTCTGTTGTACTTATGGATATGATCCAATACCGAGTTTTTTAAGTTAGGCCCTAGAGTCACACCAAGCGCGTACTTGAATCCTATGAAACACAATTTATGGAGTGATGCGTATGATTGATACGCATATATGATTTCTTCCAGATACACATAAACGGTTATGTATATCGGTAAAATCGGAATGCTATGTGCTTAGGAAATGAATTCTAGTATTTTTTCCATAAAGTTAACTTTTTGATCAACAGTTGACTTTTTGGTCAACATTTGACTTTTGGTCAACTCTTGATTTATTTGGTCATATAGTGACTAATTAGTTAAAAATTGGAATAATACTATATACCGTATTTATGAAATTCTGTATTAGTAATATTGATTTGGTATTTTTATTTATGAAATACACATACCATGTATAATGAGTCATGAGATGAGTCATTTAGTGGTATGGTTTGAGCACATGGTTTATTAGTACATGGTTTTGAAATGTAATGATTCATAAGATGATTCATTGCATGACTCATAGGATGAGTCATTCATGTCATGAACACATTTCACTCTATAAATATGAGCTCTCTCTCTTCATGAAAGGCTAATGAAAATTAAATTTCCATAAGAGAAAGAAGTAGTAGGATTTTAAGAACCCCGAGGTGGATATCTTGCCTCGCGTCTCAAGCAGCATCCAATAGCTTTCGGGTTTACTTGAAGAGTTGGAGATCCACTACGAGGAGCTTTCTGCATCAAAGAGAGCAAGCTAAAGATTATTCGATTCACTATCGAATCACGCTACAAAAGTATGACTTTCAAACCTTATATGCTCACTTAATAATAAGGATCATGTTAGATTTAACTAGACGATCCATATGAATATTTCATGCTCTCTACATGCTTAGTATTTTTTGTACATACATGTCTTCCGCTGTGTATTATGCATGTAGACATAGCACGATTTCCTTCAGATACCCCATCACATTCTTGATCCTGTTAGCTAGTATCTTTGTGATGAATTTATACATACAATTGTAACAAGAGATAGGTCTGAAATCTGAAGAGGTTTTAGGGCATTGCACTTTGGGTATTAGAGTTATAGAAGTGGAGTTTACTATACCCAGGAGTTTACCTATCCTGAAGAAATCTTCAATGACCAATATGACTTCATCCCTAATAATATCCCAAGTTGATTTGAAGAATGACACACTAAACCCATCAGGTTCTGGTGCCTTATTATCTGACATTGAGAATATTGCAACTTTTATTTCTTCATTAGTAACTGGACTTGATAATTCTTTGACTTGAGTATCATTAAGGCAAGGCCCAGATTTTATAACATTCATATCAAGAGGAGTAGTGTCCACAGCAGAAATCCATGAGATTTTTATAAAAAGAAACCAATTCATTTATAATTCCTTCACCATCTGTGATCCTATCACCTCTATTGTTGTAAAGTACCACAATCTTGTTATTGTGTCTGTTTGTTTTTGCTAAAGTATGGAAAAAACTGGTGCATCTATCCCCTTGCAAACTCCAAGCTATTCTGGCTTTTTGTTGATAAAAGGACAACTCATAGTCCATAAGCTTGTTGTAATTTGATGAGCAATCTTTCTCTTGATTAATAAGAGTAGGATCATGAGGGCAAGCTTGAAGTCTTTCTTGGACATTCTCTAATGCAATTCTGGCCCTTTGAACTTGTTCACTGATATTATAAAATGCTTCTTATTCAATTCCTTAAGAGCTCCTCTTAGTATTTTTAGCTTAGTATAGACTGAGTACATGATGAATCCTTCAATTGTTGTTAGCCAAACATTTGAAACTGTAGGAATGAAGCTTGGATATTTGGTCCAAATTTCAAAGAACTTAAATGGCTTTTCCCCTTGTGATATATCTTCATATATTGAGATCAACGCTAGAGAATGAAATGAGAAATAAAGAAGAAGGAATTCCACATGCTTGTGTTAAGCAACTGAATCCAGAAATCATTGACCAGAGCCCTGTCTAGTCTACTCCAGACCCTAGAATCAGAGTATTGCTTATTATTTCATGTATAATAACAGCCCAAAGTCTTGAAGTTATTGAAATCACAAGTATCAGCTTCAGACAGCCTTGTCCCTCCATGTTTTTCATCATTGTTGATCATTGCATTAAAGTCCCCACAGAGAAGCCAAAGAGCATTACCAATACTTTGATGAAACTCGTTGAGTTCATTCCATAAAAAACCTTCCTTTCCTCCAAATGATTGTGTCCATAAATTAAGGACAAGACACATTCCAGTCTCCCATCCAAGGATTTAACTTTGCAGGTAATATGTTGATCTGAGGAAATAATAATTTGAATATCCAAGATTTTAGGATCCCACATGATAAGAATTCTAGTTTTTCCTGGAGCCCTAACATTAGATATCCAACTCCAATTATCTGCTATTTTCTTAGTTGCAATAGGTAGCAAAGATTCCTTAATTTTAGTTTCAAGAAGAGCAATAAAGGAAATATGATATTACAACAAGTGGTGCTTGACCAAATATTGCTTAGAGGATTTATTCAATCCTTCTAACATTCCAAAATGAGAGATTCATTTGCTCAACCCCTCTCTATCAATTGTAGAATGGTCAAATTCTAAAATATCCAAGGATGAGAATGAGTTATTTGAATTGATATGCTTTCCAGCCTTTTTGTTTTGAACAAGTGACCAGGACTTATTCACATGAGAGGAGTTAAGGGGGTGACCAAATTTAGTTTCAGATTCCTGACCATGCACCACATGCACAGGTTCAGACCCAGGGAGGTTAGCCCATGTTTCAGGATTCTGGACATGCACCACATGCATAGGTTCATGCCCAGGATTTTTGCTGCATTCACCAGCAAAGATAATTCTCTTTGGATGGTTAGCCCCAGAAGCAGGCATCTGAACAACTGCAGGTATCCGAACATGCACAACCTAAGCATTATTCCTTTGATCCCCTGGTGTTACCTGATTGTGCACAACATGAGCCACATGAGCATGTGTCAGATTGTGTATATCATGCACAACCTGAGTATTATTTCTTTGATTTCCTAGGTTTGTGATCATACTTGAATCAGCCTGAGCAACTTCCGGATTTCTTGAGCCTCTTCCTTTGTCAACCATATTAGGTATAACAATTTTTTTCTCGTGTGGTATCCATTTTTGGACTCTAGGCTGTCTCTTATAATAAATTGAGTCATGCCCCACCACCTTGTAAAATTCACACCATCTTGGATTTAATTCATAGTTAATTTTCTAAGAGAAGATTTTACCATTTGGTCCCTGAATTGAGATTTGATCAGGAAGAGGTGAGGGCATTTTCACTTTAACTAGGACTCTGGCATATGCTAATCTTTGCCTATTAGTTATAAGCTTGTTAGTGGTAATTGGCCTACCAATGACACTAACTATTTTGCTAATACTCTTAGCATTCCACAAATTTAGTCTCAAACCAGGCAGTTGTATCCACATAGGATAGGTGTTATCTTTATATCTATCAAATTCTTCATCAATTGTCCAGGGTTTTAGAAGAAGAGGTCTAGACCCAAAAAACCGGGGTCCGTTCTCAAGTATTCCACACATTTCTTTCTTATTTTTAAACTTGAACATGTATACTCCATCCCAAAGAAGACAAACATCTAGAATTTCCAAATGAGCCCACACCTTATGAACAAATGTTTCCATGGCCTTGTATTTGACATTAAGCCCCACTACCTGACCTATAAGTGAAAATTGCCAAATAGAAGCACATTCATTCCACTCATCATCTTCAAAAATCACAGCATCCTTATCCACTGGTGTCACATAATTCAATTCCAAACTAGTACTAGGTTTTCTATTATCAGCAAAGAGATTTACCCAACTCTTGCTAGCATTGTTAACAGGAACATGAATGGTCAGATCATTCACAGACTCTAATGGAGGGAGAACTGAATTCTCATTGTTAATTTTACTAGAATCAGAGTTTTTTTTTGATGAACCAAGTCATCAGATCCTACTACAACAATATTTCTCTTTTCAGTTTGTAATGAAACAATATCCGATTCTAAAACAGATTCTGAATTTACAAGATTTGATCCTAAAAAATTTGCAGCTCCAGATTTACCAGAACAAAAACCAACAACATTGAAAACCGGCTCAAGAATAGAATTAGATCTCCAAATTCTAGATCTATTTTCGTCATTACTCGTCTTGGCAGGACTCAAAGAAATAGAATTAAGAACTGAGTTAGAGCCTTTTGATCCAGATTTCTTATCGAGTTTGATCTCAAAATTCCAGATCTAATTCCTTCATCATTCAGATTCAAAGAAACAGAACCAGAGACAGTATTAAGAACTGAACTAGAGCCTTTAGAATCAGGAATTCTTACCAAATTTGAAGACTGAATCTGAGGAGATGAATCTGTTAGGTCTCATGTTATGAGCCTACATCTTCTAATCTTGTTTTGATGATTACAAACAATTCCTAATATTGGTTGTCAAGTATTTATGTTTTCTTATTAGGTATTCCAGACAAACAATAAGTTGGAGGATGGATGGAATCGAGCATTCATGATCATATCCAATGGAGGTTGGCGGAATAGTGGTTGAACCAATATAATTCAAGTTCAAGATCCAAGTTCAAGCTTCATCCGCACAGTTTACCAAGTGGAGCTATATTGAAGATCTATCAAGCTTGGGTAATTTAGTTTAGGTTTTATATTATGTGTGTTAAGTACTCTAAGCTCAATATCATATACACATACATTTTATTTGGTTTCCATGTATATATATATATATATATATATATATAAATCAGTTTATAAAGTTTCAAAACATGGTTTATATCCAATGTCAAAAACAAGTGTTTTTCATTTACATGTTTTGGACTATTTTATAAAATGAAGAGATTTCTCTTTTGGGAGGTGTTTTTTGAAAACAAGTTTTTATAACATGTATATTATCATGTTTACAATTATTTTCCAAAGTTTTACATTTTTCTGATTTTATTTGCTATTTTTAGAAGATGTTTAAAAATCAAGTGGGGAGCAAAGATGTAGGACGGAAGGTCCGAACTCCGTGAACATATCTTGTGTTTGTATTTATCTTTGCGTACTATCGTTTGTTTATTTACTCTTGTTCATATATCCTTGCATATATCAAATTGAATATCAATATTGTTAGGATATATTTGTTAAATAATTTTAATCGGCATTAATATGTAATAAGATTAGCAATAACCCTATTCACCCCCTTCTAGGGTTCTTTCCTAGTGGCTTTAAGATACTTTTAATTGGTATCAGAGCTTGGTGCTCTTAATTTAAGGTTTAACCGCCTTGAGTTAACGGTCCAAGCTTTAATGTTGTTGTTAATCTTATTTTGATATTATTTAATTCGCTTGCTCATATATTATGGATAAGTTTGGTGTAGGCTACGATATAAATATTGCTCCTAAATATAGTAACTTTCCTTATGAACAATGGTGTTGTAGATTCACAATTTTTGTTGAATCTAGAAACATAGATTTGTGGGAAGTTATTGACAATGCTTATATTGTGCCCACTTCGGAGAAATCCAAGTGGAGCAAACATGACAAGAAATTATTCACAATGAACAAGTTAGTGTTAGAATTTATGCATAATGCTTTTGGTCCATGTATTTCTAACGAATTTTCTCATTTTGATAGTGTTTATGCAATTTGGAAATTATTTAAAGCACATCAAGGGAACTTGAAGGCGATCCGACGATCTTTGGCGGCTCCTTCTACAAGTTCACAAGGAGCCTCATCATGCACACGGCCACTAGGTGATAGTCCTAGAAACGAAAATAATCTTACTATTGATGAACTCGCATATGGTTATGAATTGTTGATGTATGAGTATAAGAAATTGCAATGTAGCTACATTAACTTAAAAAGCAAGCATGTCGAAATAAAATCCTCTCATGAAATACTAGCCACTAAGTTTAGCAAGCATGTCGAAATAAAATCCTCTCATGAAATACTAGCCACTAAGTTTGATCTCATTGCAAATGAATATATAAATCTTAAAGAATACAATGAAAATTTAAAATTAGAAAATGCTAGTTTGTTTCATGCTAAATGTGATGCTATGTTAGAAGTTGAGAACATAAGAAAAAAGGTTATTTTTTTTAAAATTGATCATGCATGTTCTACTTCTAACAACAATGCTTGTGTGGATTATAATGAGTTGAATCATGTTAAAAGTAGAATATCCTCTTTAGATTCAACAATAAAAACTTACATTGTTAATAACAACAAGCTTATGGACTTGTGTGCAAAGTCCCACAAAATTGTTTTCAAGAAATCTATTCTCTATGCACACAAGTATAACAAAATTTACAAGTATTGTGGTCGTTTTGGTCATTTGGCCAAGTATTGTTTTGATTTAAAAAGGAATTCTCTTTTGCCAAATGATTCTAAAATATCACATGTGTTTAATTGCAATATTTGTGGTAGATTTGGACATATTGCAAAATTTTGTTATGATTTACAAAAAGCTTCTATGTTGCAAAATGTTCCAAATAGACCTATGTTTAAAAATGTTTCGCATTTGCAAAAAGCTTCAAATAATTTACATTTGTTTGCAAATGTTCCACGTGCACATCCACATGGTCAACATAAACAAATGCATCCTCTTCATTGCACTTATTGCAATAGAATATGTCATTTGCATAATTATTGCTATGACCGGACCCGTGCACAAAATGTGCCCAAAAGGGATCATAACCCTAGGGCTTTAAGCTTTAATGATAGGGGTCATGTCCCTAGCCTCTTAGGTACCAAGAGTAATTGGGTATCAAAACATGTTTAGTTCTTTAAGAATAAATTTTTTAGCTTTTTAGTTTTTCATGTTCTTAAAGACGATTTTTATTTAAGTTTTATAAACAATTTGAAAACAATTTTATATTTGGTATT